ACCATACGACAGTGGCTCGAGGACCGTCATGGAGAACCATCGCCGCAAACCTTCTTCAAGGAACCAACTCCAAAGGAAGGACCGAGAGAGTGGCTACGTTGCCAAGGCAGCCACGTAGGGGGTGACACCCATCCAGGTCGCCACCATCACCACAAGTATGCAGCCCCAGTGCAGTCCCATCATATGGGTAGTAAAGAAGCCCATGTGATAGCGATGGAACCCTCTCCCTCCAAGTCTGCGGACATGTCCGGGAGGATTTTTTTTGACAGGCCTGGAGGCCACAATCTTGCCCACCGCGCGATAGCCAGCGCCGTGCGATCAACTTGCGAGGCCCTGGAAGGCCTGCCAGGACGGCAATAATGGAAACAACCAATGTCCTGCCATGCCGGAGCGCGTAGCTCTCTCGACACAGCGATCATACGAATCACCGAGGTTCTGGAGGCCCAGGAGGTCCGGACAGCTGATGAATTCACCACTTCGAGCCAGATCTTGCGAAAAGCACGTGTGCGATTTTGATTTTCCTGCGTATTCGAGTTTGAGTGAATTTTCTGAGTAGATACGGTGATCAATTGGATTCCAGTGTGTTGCGGATTGCTGTGAGTGAATACATACACGAGTAATAATATATCTGTATGGTGAGCCTTGGGGTTGGGTTAAGTAGGGATGGAGTGGGTCCCAAAATTTTTGCGATTGAAATTTTTTCATTTAAAAATGCGCGTTGAAAATTTTTCCGTACGAAAACTAAGTGGAAGCGATAAAACTATCAGCAAAAGTAATATTTCGGAAAGTAAAAAGGAAAATTGAAAGACAAACCCACATCGGAAAAACACACATCGGTAACGGAAAAACTAAAGTAGATCTTGTCCATCCTCATGGACTAATGGATGAGATTGTATTTCGGAATATAAAAACAACAGGTGGTTTAAGATTTTAGGCAAAATATTTTATGACTTAGGCGATGCATCCTCTTTTAGTAAAGACAGTGGTTTTATTAGCAAAAGTGATGGATGAGATTGTGTTTCAGAATGTGAAAAGGAAAATTGAAAAATAAGCCCACATCGTGACGAAAAAACTAAACGGAAGCAATAAAATTAGCAGCGAAAGCAATATTTCTTAATGTAAAAAAGAAAATTGAAAGATAAACCCACATCGTGATGGAAGACTAAAGTAGATCTTGCCCATCCTCATGGACTAATAGATGAGATTGCGTTTCGGAATGTAAAAACAACAGGGGGTTTAACATTTTAGGCAAAAGATTTTTCATTTCAAAATTCGACGTGAAAATTTTTCCGTATGAAAACTAAGTGGTGGCGATAAGATCTTCAAGATAATTTTTATAACTTTGGCGATGAAGAAGTATGACTATTTAAGGAGCTGGAAAATGTTTTCTAATTTTTATCAGGTGTGTGAAAAAATGTCTAAATTCTATCGACTTCACCTTTAGCTTCCACCACCATACTATTCTAAATAAACCCGCATATAAGCCCGACATCGCTTTTGAGGTCGGTAATAGTACAGCGACTTGTGTTGCCGGATCGTCGACGAAATATCGATACTCCGAATTGTGCCGAATTATGCTCCATTCTATCGATTTTGAGAAATATCGAGCACGAAAATATCGATTCGTCGAAAACAGATTTCATATACTATTTAGTTTTGTAAATTTACCTTATACAATCGAATTATTACGATGAAAACTTTAATTCTTGGTTTATTTGTGAATAGAAACAAAAAATTTTATTTGAAGTGTAACAAAGTTTTTTTAGCATAATATTACATAACAAGTACATAAAAAGTTCTTTATCAATAAATCAACAGATTTGTTAGACTATTTTTAAATCATAATGCGCTTAAGTGAAATAAGACTAGTAAACTGAAATAAGACTAGACTCAGTGTCTGATAAAATATTTTATCGTCCAGTTCTTTCAGTACATGCTTTATTGATTGTTTACCGAAGCTAGGTCAGGACAATTTTCTTTCTGTTCAGACCAATATCTAATTGGGTCCGCTTCTAACGAAGTGTGTTTTTTGCTAGATATTGTTTAAGATTCGAGTCCAAACTTCCAAAATCAAGCGCCACTCGTTTTGTAAACCTTCTTTTGTTTTAATAGTTCAATATGAAATTTCCAAACCGTGTTTTGATTTTTCGTTGTAACATCGTTAAATTGTTTAACGGGCGTACTTGACTTATCTCACTTCAAAAGAATGTTAATTTTGTCAATCGTTTTTATGCGCGAAATAGCACTGGGAAAATGTAAGACCTCGAATCTCGGAACGAGTACCGTAGGAATTGTGATCAAGGAATTAAAGTCTATACCCTTGTAGCATCTGTCAATTTCAGGGATCAGTTCATTTTTGAAAGATTTCTCGATTTCGAATAAAGTCTTGAGGTTTTCGATAGACTTTTTTAAGCAGTATATGATCGGTATAATTTTACTACGAGTTACATACGTCTGACCTCATATCTCTTTCGTAACGACTTCGGCCGGTCGAAGAATTTCCAATATTTCGTGAATAATTGCCACTTCTGAAGCAGTCAGCATAGGTAGCAAATGAGGCAGTGTCAACAGCACCGAACTGAGTACGTCAATGAGATCGAGGAACCGTTCGAGCATATAAAATGTCGAATTCCATCTGGTCGCAACGTTCTGAATCAAACACAAAGATGGATTTCGTAGATGTGCTTTTTGTAGTTCGTCAGCGGCAGTCGGGTGTCTAAAATATGTAACGATTGTTTTGATTTTTACTATCAACTCTTTTAGAGGTTAGACAGCAGTAATTTCAGTTAGGACTAAATTCACTGAATGGGCGAAACACAGCAAGTGACGACTCGAACCGAAGGTGTCGCACGCTACTTTAACTATATTAGCATCTTTATCTGTTACCACAGCAGTAACTTTGTTGATTGGAATTTTCCATTCTTCGCATACCGATCTGAAGATACTCGGCAGTGTGACGCTCGCTTAATTCGACAACGTCCAGAACTAAAGACGAGAGATTATCGTCCTCAATGAAATGAACAGAGAAGCCTAAATAACTGATAGAATTCATGGTGTCTGTTCAAACATCAGCCGTAAGCGTGAAATCAGGAAATTCACCCAATTTTTCTTTGATGATCGCAGAAAGAACTTCGTACTTGCGGTCGATAAGATCTGTTACTATAGTGCATTTGGAGCTTTATACAGCAGTGCGGCAACGCTGAGGAAATACTGACAGTCCATTTTCTCGATCGTACTCAGTGGCATGTCGTTCTTTACGAGCATGTAGATTATTGCATTTGTAATTACACGGGCCCTTGTTCCTCCATCTATAAATATGTATGAAAATATAAGTATTAAGTACTCTTGAAATAAAACCAATGACAGAAATGATTTTCAAAAAATGCTACATGGCAATACAACCGCGATGGTCACAAATTTACAAAAATGAGATTATGCTTTTATCAGTAAATAAAAAAGCAATTTTACCTTTAAAAGATGATATTGTAGACACGACAGTGTCGATTCTAGGCTGCGACTGTACTGAATGTTTACTGTGTTCGCACGTTTTCAAGTTCGATAACTTCTGTAATAACTGAAAAGTGACTACACGTAAACTAATAATCGGTATGGATGATATCTTCCTTTTTATCTCTCTCACATACCGAATCATTGCCGCTGTCTATAGCAAGCTATCCTTCAGGTTCGTATGGTTCCTCAGGATCTTTCGAGTCGTCTTCTAGATCACTATCATGCTAGAAACACAGAATTATTATTTTGCAGTGTATTAATAAGATTGGCGTGCTTCGCACTAGTCAAATCAGTGTTAAATTTTTGTAATTTCTGTAAAGTTTTATGAATTACGTTTTTGCTGAGCTTTTCAAAGGATAATTTGGAATTATATAGTGTTTACCGATTTTTATGCGCGACGGCTCATCCGGTCTTTTGAAAGAGGTTCTAAAAATTGCCAGTCTAAATATTCAATAATACCGCTTAAAAGATACATTGTTTTGTTAAGAAACATTATCAACGTGGCCAATTCTTAGTTCATTGGCTGTAATAGAATCAGTTAAACTGGTATTAAAATTCGTAGAAAAAATACGGATTATTCTTGGAAAATACTGAACATTAATGTACCTCTTCGGAAATTACCCTTCACTACAGTCAATTACTTAGTAAAACTTTGTATGTATAAACGATAATAAATATTTAGTATTGACTTGACTAGTGCAAATTGCTTTAACATCCTTAATCCATTAAAGACGATCAAAAAATTAAAAATTGCTGCTCGCCTGGGTTTTTGGATTGCTACAAAGCATATTGCGCGAGATACAAAACTGTGTTTGAGAATTCTGGTGATGCCGTATTATGTGTTGATTCAAGTTAATTATATTTCCTGTCGCTTTTACTTCTACATTACATATTTTGCACGTACCACCCATTGAGGTTTTTACGAAGAACATCCAAACGTCACTTCTTGACAACTGGATAGCTAAAAAAATAAAAACCTGTATTGATCAATGTAATTCAAAGTGATTATTAAAAATCTGCTAGGCAACACAACTATACATTAAGAAAGGATTCTGTAATTAAGTTTGACAAAGAAAAGTAATTTTCATAATTACCGTATTTACTTTATGTCACCATTATCTACTATCATTTGCAAAGGGACGAATCTTTTCGAAGATGAAGCTTTTTCTGTTGCAGAGATATCTTGATAAATAGGAACTTTGAGTGCTGCAGAAACTGCTGAGTGCTCCTAATTCTGCTGCATTACTAATTCTCTCACTGTACACATAAAACATCACAGTCGAAATAGTTAATAAAAAAAAGACTTTCCATGCAATTTTTTTCTTAATATGCAGTTTTAAATAGTAAATATACATGGCTACTTAACTTACAAGTCATTACCATCATTGACTTCCACAGTACTTCAATGTTATCATCCTCATTTACTATTTTCTTGCGACTGATGAGATCACTAACATATGCTGGTGCAAACAAATTGGAATCTGCAATAAAATATATACCAATACAATTATTAAATTTGAAAAAAGTATAATTCGCTAATCTATTAACAAGAATCTATATACATACGTTTTAACTTTACGTAAGTCTGGCAGTTAATGTCGTCAACTCCATGAGGACTCTGTCGGTTTATTTCGAAGAAGAACGAATAATTTCGTTCTGACGTCGGATCTGAAACAGAAAAACGCGTCACGGGGACTCGAATATATTTTTATCACGATCACAATATAAACAAAAATGGTTAAGCGGAAAATATAATTTGGCGCTAAATAAATAAATATGGTACTATCTCATTCTCAGTCGTGGCGACTCAGATGATGTAGTATATCGTCTCAAATTAATGTAAATGGAACAAAGGCTTATTGCGAGGATACACGTCGACATAATTGCCATCATGATTGTCTGGACGTTTAATGCCGAGTTCGTAGTGAGGAACGTCGAACGAAAGCGTGCTCGAAAGAACGTATGATGTGGTATGTTGTGTAATATGAGCGTATGATAATAAGCGATAACGTAAACATGGGAGCGGGAAGACAAAGACACTGTGGATTGAAAACACGAGAGATTTGGCGCTTACCGGTGATGTTTGCATTTCCGTTCCGGCCATGTGTTCCGGAAAGCAAACTTATAGCCACGACGGTATTGTATCAGGATTTCATCAATGAAATTTGACATACGAAGACTCAGTCAATCCTGTTGGAATACTTGTAGTTGAGCGTACCCGTAGTGTAGCTAACTTCTTTCGGATATGAGCTGCTGGCGCGCAAACAGAAGGCAGTCACATATAATTTAAAGTAATTAATTTTCTTAATTCTAGATATTCATTTTAAAAACAAATTATTTTCAGTATCGATATTCTTGTAAAAATATCGATTCGGAATATTAATTGGCCTGTAAGTATCGATAAAAAAAACGATATTTTCTGAGTAAAATATCGATACCTTGAAATATCGATATAAAAACTGCATCACTAATTTCGGACAATAAGCAATTCTGGTAAAATTTGGTCAGATGACGCAGCATACTATCTGTCCAAAATTAATCGTCTGCGTGGACAGTAGTTACCTTGATCCCATACGGCGTCCACAGTCCGCAGCAGCAATACTTTCGTTTACTTATGTGGAGCTGCCCTTGGATCTCCTAGTAGTACTTATGATGTTTGTGTAGGGTTCCACCTTTGTTGAAGATCCCCGTCACGGCTGGTATATTTGCTGCGATTGCCTCATCCAGCGTCTGATCTCTGGCGCAGAAAGAGCACTTGATCTCTACGATTCCATTGTCGCCAATAAGACCATCAGGAGTGGCGCCTAGAAAGAGATATCTTTTTGTATAAATAATCCGTAATCCTGGAAACTGCGACCCGTTCTGTTCCTCGATCTGCTTTCGGGCTTTTTTTCACAAGTATGTGCGTAGAGCATTGCCGGTGTAGTAACTTCCTTGTTGTACAGGATGGTCTTCAAGAGCGCTTTGCACAGCGTTGTGGGTCTGCGTCAGCACATAGCTCCGAAGTGAGAAGCTGTCAGTAGCTTCTTTCGCTGAACGTTCCACCGTTTCGATTCGTGCTGCTCGATCGTCGAACGCTCCACCTTGGCTCGGTCCTTTTACAGTTTCCAAAGACGACTAGAATGGCCTTTCTTGTCTTGCTGGAATTCGTCTTCTGGTAAATCTGGTTGCGAACTTTGTGGGCCATAATCCTTATCGGCTGCGCAGTGACGTTTTCTTCCTGACCCACTGCCCTTGGGCTTATCTGCGCTTTGACGCTTTGTTGCCCAACGTCTCTTCGTCTCCTTCGCATGCCGCCGCTGATTTTCGAGGCAAAGTACAGTCGCTGATGGTATCTTTTTCAAAGCAGTAGCGACTGCTGATAAACTTCGGCCCGTGTTATACTGAACAACAGCCCCGGAACATCTTGCGTTGTAGGAGCCACGTTTTGCGAAGTTGATTCGTTTTCCGCCGATGAACTTGCAAATTACGGAATTGTAGCTTTCAGCCATGTTGCTAGTAACATTCCGCAGTAGGCTATCCCTATGGTGGCTCAGCTGAATTACGATGTCTTTGAAACGGTTGAACAATCCCATGCGCTTCAATTCCGGAACTTGATTTATCTCGTCGGACTTCAGCACTCCGCAAAAATAGGAGGCACAGTTTTGATGATCTCCGAATATATGATGCGGAATGTTTAAAATGTCGCGTCGTAGGTCATATTTTTTTTGCTGCGTTTCCGTTTTTTCTTCGTTACGATATTCCACAGCTTTTACGACAGCACTTCTAAATTTCTTTACTTTGCCTTCGATGACGCTTCTCCAATTACCGATGCGTCCCTTTCCCTTTGTGGACTCTTTCACTTTGTTACACAGGTTGCGAAGCAAGTGATTTATGCATTCGATTTTCTTCACTTGCACGTTTTCGTACGGATTCATATTTAGAATCTTTTTGTACACACTGCTATCTCCATCAGCAATGAGCTCCGTGTACATAAGATTGTGCATTTCGATGCTGCTGCAGAATCCTTCCGCGATGGCGTCACTTTCCATGCTCGTTGAGCTCTTATTACTTCCCCAATTCTTGAAACATGTATGTTTTCGGGGCTCCACGTCCTTAGCATCGGCGTACGCGCATAACGCACAATATTTATTCCTCACGCCAATAAACAAGATCTTCCTTGTATGGTAGCCCACGATAGCTCCAACACCTGCGAGGGAATTGTATTTTGTCTTGTATGACCGAGTCATCCAGCTTCCGTCGGCGACCACTGGAATCATCGCGATTCCATCTTTGGTGACGTCACCTCGGGTAACTGCAAGTTTCATCTCTTCCTCCGCAGCCGCTGTCATATTTTCTGCTGCGGCTTTTGCGAATCCCTCGCCGACTATTTCCGCATAGTTTTGCGACGTTTTGCTGGATGGAGACTGTACAGCCATCGCCGACAACACCTCCTTCAATTGCGCACCACCGATACCTGCGGTGATGCATCCGGCTGCAGCGGCTGTGTGAATATCCAGACCAGCGTCATCGGGGGGGTCTGACCACACACTACTCTTGAAATGGCACATGCGACACTCGAATTGAAATTGAGTCCTCAATCCGTGTCTATGTGTTCCAGTCAATACCAGGTCGCGAAATGCACAGTCCAATGATTTGCTGTGTTCGTCGAATCGGTGATGAATTTCAGTAAAGACGTAACCGAAATTCACTATTTGTCGTCCTACCAAATCCACTGGTTTTACTCGACCAATGTCGAGCTCATTATTTTTCTCCAGCTCTTCCGAGTCGTCTGCTTCACTCGTGTTAGGTACGCCAGTTTCTACAATATTTTCCACCTCCGCAGGTGGTTCATTGTAAATATCCGTGACAGTGACATCATCATCGACGGATGTTGTTGGGCACCGCACAGGCGAACACTCGTTTCCGCGATCGTCGAATACATCTTCTGTAAAATTCATGGCGGCTGATGTCGACGGTGGCCGCATTGTTTCTTCTTCACTGTCAAGCTCTGCCAAGGGATTGCTGGTATATCCCAACGGCACATCAGGTCCTATTGGATCACTGATGTTCCATATTCCGCCAATTCGCCTTAGTCGTGCTTCTGTTCTTGCTGCACGAGATAACCCCACTTTTCGTTTGGTCGGACGTTTTGACGGCCACACTTTTCCAAAGCGATCACGGTGCTTCTCGTTGGTAATGTTTCTCTCCATTTCGCTAAATGACACTAATTATACTAGGAAACTACACTAAACTACACTACATTGCACTCACTAAACTGCACGAACGGTATGACAGAGGCTGATAAAAAATCTTTCGATTATTAGAACAATACCGGTGAACACGGACGTTTTATAGCAACATCGTGTGCAGTATACCGTATTTATATATGTAGAACATCATAAACGTCACGCGGGAATATCTCGGGCTAACGTCTCGCGCTTCGATTGGTGTTCCAAGGAGCCAATAGCTCCCACATGCCGTTCTTTGGCTGCAGCGCTTTGTTAGTCGCCAGTAGTCGCAACATATCACCATGGCCGAACGTACGTACTGATCTTCCATTGTATTCATTTCTGTTCACAGCTGTTCTCTCATGCCTGCATTCGTAAGATTATTGCATAATTTATATTTTCTTGTGACATAGGAATTGAAATTCTTATCGTGTATAGTCTAGCACCGAGCCAATTGGTAATAATCCTACATTGTCAATAAGCTGCCATACACGCCCGCTTGTCATAACGACGCCATGACTGCGATTCAAATGTGTAGTATACAGGATGTTCCGAAAGTACCTGACCGTGGGTATGGCGGTGTTCGGGAGGCTTCACTGATCACGAAAATGACCTTCTTTTTGTCCGGAAGGTCATAGTTTTTAAATGGGAGCAGGTCAAAGTTGACCAATCAGACCGAAGCATCAACAGAAACGTAGGCACCTACGAACTCTAAGTTTTCTTCCCTCGATTTTGTTTCTCGGTGGCTATGGGCAGACAGAAGCCAGGCGAAGCCATGCCTATTAGGTATCACTCGCTGAGGACAGTCGTGCACTAACTGAAAAATGCAAAATCCTATGATAATGTAGGAAATAATAAAGATCTGTCGCAGTAGGTAAATCCAAAATTTGTCACCTACAAGTATTATGTAACTTGGTGTGGATGATAAAAGCGTATTTTTTCTGGTATTTTTTTCCAGAACTTTTTCCGCGATTTATTCTGGAACGCTTTTATCGTCTACACCAAGTTACATAAAACTTGTAGGTGACAAATTTTGGATTTACCTACTGCGACAGATCTTTATTATTTCCTACATTATCATAGGATTTTGCATTTTTCAGTTAGTGCACGACTGTCCTCAGCGAGTGATACCTAATAGGCATGGCTTCGCCTGGCTTCTGTCTGCCCATAGCCACCGAGAAACAAAAGCGAGGGAAGAAAACTCAGAGTTCGTAGGTGCCTACGTTTCTGTTGATGCTTCGGTCTGATTGGTCAACTTTGACCTGCTCCCATTTAAAAACTATGACCTTCCGGACAAAAAGAAGGTCATTTTCGTGATGAGTGAAGCCTCTCGAACACCGCCATACCCACCGGGTCAGGTAGTTTCGGAACACCCTGTATATAATACTTTTCATTATGATTATTTTCAGCAGCAGTGCGGACCACAGACTCCGCTTGGGGTTGTAGAAATCTTTGTTCGCGTATTTTGCGTAATTGATAAAAATATTTGTGTAAATCAATATTTCTATTTTCTTTTGGATACAGTTCTCGGCCATCACGGATTAGTTGCACCAGCTCCGGTGAGGACTCCTAATATATTAATTGGTGAAGGGATTTCGATTGATAGTTCAGATTCGTCCTGTTACGTTCTCGATTCATCGCTCTCTGTCTCTCATCCTATTTGCCTGACTCTTACTCCGACCCTCTCTACCTCAATCTAGCAGCCGTGCATTTCCGAAACCATCCGGTCCCATTCGTGCATCCAGTTGCGTTTGCTGATTTTACGCGACCCCAAAGATCGGCACCTACGGTTCCGTTTCTTAATTTTACGCGTCCCCAAAAATCGACAGGATCTGTTAATATATCGTCTCTTCTGATAGGTTCCGCCAGAGCTCTCGTTTTGACGGAGTTGGGCCTGTTCCACCCCAACTCCCAGTTTATACCGGCTCGTTAGTTCCCGTTGAAAAAAAAAAGAATTAGCTTGCGGCCGCCTGGCTTGCGAATGCATGAACGAAGAGTGGACGGTCGAAGGTAACGTAAGTTGTTTCTCGAAAATAGTTCGTCTTCGAGTGTTTTGCTATCGTTGTCGAGTTAAGAAAAGAAATACGTTACAGTACATACAATATATTCTGGACATTTAAGCATGTATACAGGGTGTTCGTTATGAAACGCACTGTAGTAACATCGTTGCATTCCTTTTCAAATTCTAATGAATACGTGTATTTTCATTTTTTACTTCATATATCAAAATTTCGAGATAATCAAGGTCACGAGCCAGCCCGCAAGGCCTGTTTACACTAGGCCAATAACACTAAGAGTATCGTCGTAGTGTCCCTGTTTATCTGCATGTAATTGAGTTTGAGATAATCAAGGTTAAAGTTGCAGTAATAGGACCAATCAGAACGCGTTTAAACGGAGCGTAGATGACGTCGAGAGTCAGTCCACGAGGCCTGCTTACACTAGGCCGATGACACTAAGAGTATCGTCTTTTGTATCTTACTCAATTACATGCAGATAAACAGGGACACTACGACGATACTCTTAGTGTTATTGGCCTAGTGTTGGCAGGCCTTGTGGGCCGACTCGCGACGTCATCTACGCTCTGTTTAAACGCGTTCTGATTGGTCGCATTACTGCAAATTCAACCTTGATTATCTCGAAATTTTGATATATGAAATAAAAAATGAAAATACACGTATAAATTAGAATTTGACAAGGAATGTAACAGTGTTACTACAGTACGTTTCATAACGAACACCCTGTATACATAGATGTATGTAGAAAACATATCCATAGAATATACAAAATATATTTTTCATATTATGAACCTAAAACGAATATACAAAGAATATCTCATGTTATGTGGAGTGTGATTACAGTAGAAACCGTATATGTTCAATGTAAGATCCATATAAGGCTTTACGGTTTTTGACACTATTTCTGTAATCGGGCAAAGGAAAATGATCCTCATATGATCCTTATCGAGACCTGGTTAGGCATGCCTTACAGGTAGATGCCTTACAGGCATGCCAATCAGGCAGTCCTAATTCGGACCCGATCAGGATCGCACGAAGTATGTATTAATGAGGCATGCCTTAACTCTGCCAGATCGGGTCCTGATAGTACTTCGAGCATGCCGGATCAAATTTCTAGTCGGAATAGTGTGTATTTTCGTTAATCTTATCCGTTAAGTAGTCTTATTTACCTGTAGATAATTTTCGTTATTCCTTCCTATCCCTGTATTCTTCACACGCCCTGTGTGGAAAAGTAATAAGGAAACCTGGTTATATGCGAAAGGAATGTCTGTTCATCGAGGGATTTGGCCATTGAAGAAGGATGGTAAGGGAGCGAGATCTCAGTGGAGAGGAGGTGCAGGGTGCAATCAGGCAGGCCCGCGAGAGGGGACCAGCGGTCTATGACCCCTTTGCGAGAAGGGCCAGCCTTTTAAAAGGCCTTAAAGAAAACCTCCTAATGGCGGGGGTACAAATCGCGTAGGAATTACACCAGCCGGCAACACCAAAGGGGGAGTTACTAGTGTCGGCAAGGTAAGTTTCGGGACTGAGAACAATACCAAACCCAAGTGGCGAGTCCGGCGGAACCATTTTAGCCGTCACAACATCGGGACTGGCAAGGAGCCCTCCCCCTGCGGGAGCAGAAGAATCAACAACGCTCCAAAGAAGGAGACCATGTGGGAGGAACTCCGACACATGAAGGAGGAGGCCCGCAGGCTTCGAACGCTCTGCTGGAACTGCGGGCATCTGAGGCATCGTCACACCCAGTGTGACAGACCGTGGGAGCGGTTTTGCCGTCACTGCGGAACTCGTGGCGTGCTCGCGAAAGAGTGCCCAGTGTGCGAGTACCATCAACGCAAGGGCACCTTCCAGGACTCGAAGACGCCACGACACTAGGCGACGAGAAACAATGGGAGGGCGGGGGGTAGGCTTTTTGATTTTTTTTAAATATATGGGGAAGGTTTGTTGGGAAGGGGGGTTAATTAATTTTTGAGGGGAAATATTGGGAGTAGTTTACTAAGGGTGTCGAGTCATCTGTAGAGTCTGGGATTTTCTTTTGGCCGGGGGGGGGGGAAGAGATTCAAATTTCAAAGTTTAACTCTCATACGCTCCTTAGAAATATTTACAAATAAGATTCCATAAAAAAATGGGTGAAATATCACCCAAGGAGCGTATGAGGGTTAAGAGACGGGGTTAGCGTGTGCGTATAAAATAAGATAGCCGATGACTATGCAACCAGGGATTAGAAAAAAAAGCGTTAATATTAAGTATTGTTATTTTGTGATATCTCTTGGTACCGTCTATATTAGTCATCAGTCTGTACAACCGTCTTCGGTCTGTGTATGGTTAGCTCACTAGAGTTATTTTGGAGTTTAACAATAAATTAGTATTTGTTTAATTGTTAATTATCCTGCGTCGAAATGATTTCGGAGCGGTTTAGTATTTTCGCATTTCCGACTTGATTAGGTATCCGCGGACTAAACTTAGCAGTAATAATGTGTATTAATTCCCTTCGGAGTTTGTATTTTGTATTTCACAAGGAGTGGTCGGTCTCGTAAGAGAACCGACACAAAAATTAAGACGTTATGAACACACGAAACACCAATGATGGCCCTGGCTACGGCAGAGGGGTCCAGCGAATGCGCGTCACGGCATTGGCGTGACGTATAAACAGGAGAAGTATGTCTACGACCGTGGAGCACCACTGGAGGAGGTCGCATACGCGGCAAGACGCCGCGAGATTATCGAGGATCCTGGATGCATCAGGAGATTGCAGTAGAGGTCTGGAGCCGCGCAACGAGGGATAGGGTGCGGATGTGATTCCCGCCCCGTCAAAAGACGCTGCTAACGTCCAGAAGAGGAGAAGATGCTAGTATCTATTTTTGTAGGATCGAACAGAATAATTGAAGATTGCGCGCGAATTTGCATGCAAAACTTTCCCGTTCAGTCCACGCTACGCATGACCGTTTCGGTCGTGTGTTGAGTAATGTAAGAGCCGCATAATGGTACTTTTTCCCGACGATAAATTCGTAGATGGTAAAAAGGTAGTTAGGGAATTGCGTATTTACTGACTGTTATTTTCAGTAGTTAAATAAGTTTCCGGAACTGATTCCGACATCGAAATTATTCGTGACGGGATAGACTGCGCGTACTTAACAACACTCGAAAGATGGACATTCCCAGCGGAGAATCTGCGGGATCTGTGTACATACTCGGTGTCTTGATAGGAGGTCAGTTATTGTTACGAAATTCGACCGTGTAAATATTGTGAATCGGATAAGACGGGCAATAGGCCACTTATCGGCGAATTTGGTAAATATTGCGGTATTTAAACACTTGCGCGTGCATTGCGTAAGATGCGTGTTGTTTCCGGAAATGTCCGAAGTTTGAAATATTACGTGACGTTACGTATTAATAAGTATATCAGACGATATACTTATCCTCTAATGTACCCAGTCTCCGAAACTTGAACATTCCACCCTATCCTAACCTTATCTAACCAAACCTAGCGTGAACTAATGTTAAACCACATACAATATACTATAATTCTATTCCATTTATTTAAAAGTGTACAGAATTTGGAGTAAAAAGTCATTTGTGTCCAATTGGTTTGAGCGCCAGTGGGTCCCCTCCCTCCCAGTGGACACCTAATAGTCCCGGCGCGCGATCTGGTTGGCAAGGTATCACGGGAGCGGGGTATTTTTGTTTTGGTCCACCCGCTAGACGAGGGAGGATGAGGGGGCAGGGAATTCTCGTGAGGCGGGAATTCCTTCGGCTAAATTTGGCAAAGCAGTAACAATAGGACTCAGTAATCTTCGGATTTGCCGAATTCAATCTTTTTCGGGTAATCGACAGCCTAACACGTGTGTGAATTTTGCGAACAATTACGGGTGGGGAACTTCGGTTTTTCCTTTGGTGCATTGACGACTCGGCCTGTTTATTTGTGTATCTCTGGTGAACGACGCGGCTTGTGGTTTTGGACTCGATTTTGGAACCGTTTTGACGGAATTAAGGGTGCAGGGTGACTGTGCGATGTGTGAGGAGGTGCGTGTAAGAACGGAAGTGCGACCAGAGACGCCAACCGAAGCCGAGGACCCCTCACCTCGAATCGGCCCATTTGTTTTTTTGTGGAGATACTTTTTGGATAAACCGCTTCAACGGTAAGTACCCCCGGGAGCGGCCCTTCTTATTGCATGTATTCCCCTCGGAGAAGGGCCAGGATAGCCGTCTTCACTGAACCCGAGCGGAGATCGGTCGCAAGGGATTCGCGAACCGTTGGTAGGGCAGGCTAGGGACGGTGGGAAAGGTTAACACTGCGGCCCTTACGGAGGGCCGCGCTCGCCGTTGGAAGTTATTGTACGCGTCGGGATGACTTGTACTGGCTCCGTTCTTTCTGATTCGAATAAACGGACATTCCAACTTCAAACGGCGTTTTCATTGGTGTACCCCGAATTGTTCGATTCTCGTCGCCCCCACGTTCCTCTCTATCATTTCAGCTAGCTGAGGCTGAACAGCCGGGAGACCGCGAGGAAGCGACTATAGGAGGAACGTCGGTGCGGAGAGTCCGCACCTGGCACCCAACACTCCGATTTAGTTCGGATTTCGGAGATTTTTCGAATTTTAGCACGTTGGGAGCGTCCGCGGATTGTTTGTAGGCGACGCCGTTGGACGGCATACGTCATAAAGCATACAGCTAAGCGCATTATATTATTGAACTTAGCAATGGAAACGGCAAAACTCAAAATGTCAAATGCCGATAGATGTGTGGGGCTTTTAGGTAAAAAGAGCCATCGCAGTAAAGATTTGCGCCGTCTTTCTGCGAATCCCAAACCGAAATTCGCTGATGCGCTAAAAGATGCCATGTTTTGCTCGAGCTGCAGAAAAAAAGCAAGCGCACCCAGCCAACTGCAGATTTTACAAACCCAAATGTTTCCCTTCTCGATGCACTTGATAATACAGTTGGTTTACATGAGCCACCAATGAAACGTTATCGACCATCAACCATTAAAAGGCGTATCAGGAAAATTCCTAAAACGAGATGTGCAAAATACTCATCCCGCTTTACCGTCGGCTTCAGAACACATCACTCCTCCTGCGGGACGTCCAGGTGAATTGGTGGAAGCTGATAAAGAAATGGAACTCACAGAAGGCGAAGAAGCAGAATCTCAGGAAATCGCTCAAGCTTGTTTAATTTTTATCCGTAGTCTTTCTTTTCATGACTCTTCTAGTGAATCATTTTATTTGAACGAGAAAAGCGATTCCGATAATTTTGAGACTAAAATAAGTAACACGCCTCGTTCACCAAGGGAGGTTGAATTAGAATCGATGTTCATTCAGTTGAAAACAAAGTTTAACGATCCATCCACTTCATTTTCTGACTGGATACAAGTCTTGACAATAGTTCCGATCTCTTGGAACGCACGCAAGATTGCTCGAGAATTCAATACAACAAGACACATGGCCACAAAAGCGATGAGACTCAGAGACAAAAATGGCATATTCACATCTCCGATTCAACGAGCAAGGCGAAGTCTAAGCCATGAGACCATGCAGAAAGTTCGTGGATTTTACGAAAATTACATTAACAGCCGTCTTATGCCTGTCGCCACAGAGTGTATCTTCATACGGATTGATGGCAAAAAGCAACTGGTCCAAAAGCGGCTTGTACTTTGCAACTTGAAAGAACTTCATCAAGCATACAAAAGTGCACATCCAGAGTCTTTTGTTCAGTTTAGTAAGTTTGCAGAACTACGCCCTAAACACAGCGTACTGACCGATTCGAGTGGGACTCATTCTGTCTGCGTTTGCGCTTATCATCAAAACTGCAAATTGATGCTGGAAGCGATAAACATCTGAAGTCTAAATAATAGTTCCACACATTCTATTAAGGGTTACAAGGATTGTCTCAATTAGATGATGTGTCAAGGTTCGAAGCCTGCGTATCATCTAGACGAGTGCAAGGACTGTCCCGGAACTAAGTATTTTGGTATTTATTTAACTGAGCTTCTCAATGATAAGATAGTCGATGAAGTTGAGTTCCGTACATGGCAATCAGCAGATGGATCAACACTTCATACCATCAAACTTGCCACAGCAAACTTCAGCGATACTCTTTGCGACCGTTTAAAGGTTCTAAAGCCGTATAATTTTATTGCCTGGGAATTGTTACGTATATCGGCCTTCATTCCAAAACAGAATAATAACGTAGCCG